TTTTTTTTTTTTTTTTTGTTAAAACCTTTTCATGTGGTTAAAGGAAAAAGTTTTAAAATAGTCTTGGTAGGAAGGGTGGAATAAAGTATTCCAAGAAGCTCAAATCTAGCATGGTTTATTAAAAATACCCACTAAGGAAGGGCCTTGTTTCAGATCAAGTCCTCTGCCCAGCCTAGAGTAATGTTTTTTTTTTTTTTTTTTTGGTGTGGCTATTAATTTGTTGCTTCCCTCTACTTTTCCACTCAGCTGCATTTTTTCTTCCTTGTATCTCTTTATATTTTCCTATTCCTTTTCTCTTCTCCCCATTTGACCACCTGCCTACCTGCCAGATTCTCTGGTTCAGTGCCGTTTCACACATACCTACAGGCTCATACCTCAGCGCGCCAGGGCTTGCTTCCTCAGGATAGGGAGATTTGACTCATTTCTATTTCTACTTTGCTTCTTTAGTTAATTGTAAATTGCCCTCCTGCCCCGCTCCAGTGAAACTGTGCTTTACTTGCCTTATTCAGATTCCAAGGAGATAGACAGAAGAAGAGCAAGAATCAAACATAGCGAAGGGGGCGACATCCCTCCTAAGTACTTTGTGGTCACCAATAACCAGCTCCTGCGAGTGAAGTACCTTCTGGTATATTCACAGAAGCAGCCCAAGAGGTAAGAAGCATGGTCCCTAGGTGAAGGATAGGAGGCCAACTAAAGGCTGTATTCAGAGGATGGTTTCGCCTTTACCAGGGCTGCTTTCCTTCAGCCTTAGGCCTCCACTCTGTGTAAAATACATAAAGTACTAAGCTAGAAATGGTGAGGAGGGCATACGAGTCAGAGGAGATATGGTCCTGATGCAATAGGGTCCATGTGTTCTAGTGAAGAAGATAAGAAGATTTGTAAACATAGGTCTTTCTATGAGGGATGGAATGAAGCCAAATTTGTGACCCCTTAGCCACAAGGCCCATAATTGTGGTCTGAAACCCACTGATTTAAGCTGAGAGGCAGGGCAGCAAAGGGTCACTGGCTGAAGCTGTGCAGCCTAGCTCAGTCACTTTTCCCCATGGTTGTTGACCCTCTGCCTGCCCGTCCATGGATCTGAGATGCTTTATCCTTATCTCCAAAATGAGGTGTTGAAGCTGGGGGTGAGGCTCAGTGGGAGAGCACTTGATTAACACGCACTATCCCTAAACCTTCAAAGAATAAATGAACCCTTAGCTGGACATGGTGGTGCATGCCTATAATCCCAGCAACTCAGGAGGCTGAGGCAGGAGGATCACAAGTTCAAAGCTAGTCTCAGCAACTTATTGAGGCCCTAAGCAACTCAGTGAGATTCTGTCTGTAAATAAAATATAAAAAAGGACTGGGGATGGGGTTCAGTGGTTAAGTGCCTCTGAGTTCAATCCCCAGTGCAATAAAAATAAGGACCTTTGGCTCTGAAGAACTATGGTGAATGTCTAGTCCCATTTCATTAGTGTGGTGGTGGGAGGATCTGTAGGGTTCTAAGGGTTGGGGGTCACTTAGAGACCTTGCATGTTGTTGGAGCCCATGGTAGAGCTTCCCATGCATATCAGCAGCAGGTGCACTAGTTTGACAGGAAAAGGGGTCATTTTTAAAGTCCTGCTTCTTATGCATACCAGTGCTTTCCATGCTTCCAGAATTTATATGCAAGTAAAATCCAGCCTCCACCTAAATTTGGGTAATCTGTATAAGGTTTCTAAATCTTGGAACAATATTCTTTGGTTTTAAAGAAACATCTGACTTCTATTTAATATTCCATTTGGCCCATACCTATAATTCCGCTCATTTAGGAGGCTGAGGCAGGAGGATTGCAAGTTTGAGACCAGCTGCAGCAACTTGATAAGACCCTGTGTCAAAGTAAAAAAAATTAAAAATAAAAAGGAATGGGAATGGAGTTCAGTAGTAAAGCACCCTAGGTTCAATCCCCAATATGCCAAAAAAAAAAAAAAAATCTAATCCTTTTCCCACAGTTCCTGGAGTGTATCTTAAGTGAACACTTGGATGGTTTAGAACACCTCCTAGTGGGCCAAAGAGGATTTCCCAGCTCGGATTTATATCTGTATGTGTCTAAAAGGAAAAAGACTTTTGCTAAATGGCCTGCCACCATCTGGGCAGATACCCTGAGCTAAGTCATTCTTACAGAATCCAAAGTCTTGCTTAAGAAAAGATGGGTTATAAAAGGTAAAAACGAGGACATACAAAGGGAAGATCAGGGTGAGCTCACTGCATAGCTGTCTTTGTACATTTAGAAAATGTTCTGTTGAAAGGCATGCTGGTGCCAGAGCAGACAGTCCCAGATTTTTTGGGCAAAGTATCCTGAAGCTTCACTTCATAACTATGCAGAGGATGAAATTTATCATTTCATCTTCTTTGAGCCAGAACATGTTGCATACACTTTTTTAAAAATGTTTTTTTTTTCCTTCCTGTTGCCAACATCACTCTTTTCCCCTTCAGCAGGACTTCAAGCCAGCTCTCCTGGTTTTCTAGCCATTGGTTCATGGTCATGATGTTCCTGTATCTGCTGCTACTGCTCATAGTGAGTGTCATCAACTCCTCTGCTTTCCAACACTTTTGGAATCGTGTTAAAAGATAATCTTTCTGGATCTGGTGTGGGGACCACTTCAACCATGTGCCTTAAGATAGCTTGTTTCCTACCTCCTGTGCCTCATGTCCGGCCAGGTCAAGCCTGGGGACTAGTTGAGGGTCACAGGACAATTTTTAAAATACCATAAATGTACTGATTGCCTTTGATGATACTCCCAGCCACACTCCAGTCTGTTGGGACGCCTGGATCCTCACTCACAATTTTCAGGGAGCCCTCCCATCTGCTCCTTCCTGAACAGACCTAGGGAGTTGGCTCTTCAGCCAGGGCCAAAGGAAAAAGTCCTGCTGCATTTAAAAACAAAGTGTCCAAGCTGTCAGTGGTATGTTTACAATCATTCCTGGCGGAGGTTGGCCCTTTCTCTCATGCCTTCTGGAAGGCGGAACATGTGTAGTGGGGACTATAAATCACGAGGCGGTTGCCTTGTTTTGGCTTGAGACACCCAAGAGGGACAGTCATGTTTCTCATAAAAGTCAGTGGGATGGTTTTTGGATTCCATCAGTTCTTGTATGTGAATGCAAAACATTTTAACAGTTTTCTCAAATCAACAGACAGCCTTCTGCTACAGCTGTACCTCCCTCCCCACAAACCATGGAAGAAAAAGGAAGGAGTCAGGGCCCTGATTTTTTAAAAATTTCAGACTTAACCTGAGCAACTCAAGACATCTATTTCTAAAAATTACCAACTGTTGCTTATAGCTGAAATGAAACCAAATGATTGTTTTCTGACTTTTTTAAATAGCTATTTGACAAAGTAGTCTTTGTGAGCTGAGAAGAGGGGAAATTTCTGAACCTAAAGCACCCTTTGGTCAGGACACACAGCCTCTTTCCTAGCTGTGTCCTAGAGTGAAGGATCTGAGCCTCAGGCTTGCTCCTGTTCTTATTCTCACAAAGCTGCCTTGATTGTGGCCTGCCAGCCTCAAGTGCCACATTGCAGGCCATTGGTGGGCTGCTGGCCTTGGAAACAGGCCTACTTAGCATGTCACAAATCCACATGATTTGAGCCTCCTTCAGAGGGTCATTGTCTTTGGGACTCAGCCAGGGCTTTAAAGTGTAGGAAGAGCCTCGGCCGCCAGGACAACCGCAGCCGGACTTGGTCCTATTGTCTGTTCCCTTTGTCCTGCTGAGTTTCAGCTGTCATGGAGCCCTGTCCAATTTGGGGGTGAGACTGCTGTAAAGAAGGGGAAGAATCATTTTTCTACAATTTATAAAGTTGTGAAAAAGCCACTGTCATGGTTTTTACATTGAATATTGAAACATTTCAAAAATAATAAAGATATTTTCCTAATTACTGAGTTGTCTTTGTGGCTGCTTTCAGCCTGAGCCTGAGTCGGCTGTGTATGCCCTGTTGTTAAAAATCTTATCCTCTCTTTCCTTGTTCAAGGTGACCATTTGCTGGAGAGCGTGTATCACCAGGATATCTAGTAGGTGGGATTTGTTGTCACTGACCCCAATAAGAGCACCTACAGTGTACCAGGCACTAGGAATACAAGCAGGATCAAAAATTCCCCTGCCCTCATGGAGCTGACAGTCTGGCAAGGTGGGCAGACGGACGGATGTTTTGGGAGTGAGGTTGGCATTATGTGATTTTATAAGAGTTTTTGGGAAACACTTGGTAAGGAGCCCTAATATGGTCTGGGCTTAGGAAGCGTGGAGTTGAAACGTGTAGTACCACATCTTACATGTACTGATCTCATTAGTCTTCACAGCAGGCTGTATCAAGAGACAAGGTGCTAAAGACTCAGAGAGTTTACCCAAGGTTAGAAGGCTGAGAAGTGGTCAAGCTGGGAGTTAAACCTGGCTGGCAGACTGATGTCAGTGTCCATCTCACAACTAGTGTCAGTTTGGACTAAGGGAGGAGGAGTGTTTAATGCAGTGAGAAGAGCATAAGTGAAGACCTACAGTTCTTAGAGAAGCTAAAAGTAGAGGGTTGTGAGCTGAGAAGAAGGGAAATTTCTGAACCTAAAGCACCCTCTGGTCAGGACACACAGCCTCTTTCCTAGCTGTGTCCTAGAGTGAAGAAAAAGAAGGGGGTGAGAAATTTGGCTGGAGAGTGGGGTAGGGGCAAGTCTTGAAAGACCTAAGAACTATAGGCCAGGGAAAGCCATTAGGAGGTTTTAAGCAAGGCAAACGAGATTTTGTTTTTAGGAATGTTATAAGCTGGTGGTTGAGAATGGATTCAGGATTATTTTGAGGGTTAAAAGAACTGAAAGGATAGGGCCAGCACAGAAAAATAGCTGATATGTATTGGCTACTGCTGCTGTTATTATTTTTATTTTTTTTAATGGTCTAACAGAGCAGAGAGCCTGCAAAGGAGCAGAACAGGAGTGCCCAGGGAAAACAGGAGGAAGTCAAGACAGCAAAGTGTCAGAAATCAGAAAAGAGGGCTGGAGGCTGGGGATGTGGCTCAGTTGGTAGAGTGCTTGCCTAGCATGCACAAGGCCCTGGGTTCAATCCCAAGCACACACGCAAAAAAAAAAAAAAA